CCCAGATCTCCACTCCTTGGGAACTTTAATTAATTTTTTTTTTTAAATTTTCGAGGGAGGGTTTCTCTGTGTGGCTTTGGAGCCTGTCCTGGAACTTGCTCTGTAGACCAGGCTGGCCTCCAATTTACAGAGATACCCCTGCCTCTGCCTCCTGTGTGCCACCGACACCCAGCTTCCTGGGAACCTTTATGTAAACCCCTTGCTATCCAGCGAGGTTCAGGATGATGGCCACCGTGTCAGGACCCCTCACCCCACCGATAAAGTCTTGCTGCCCAGTGCTAGACACTCATTCCATCGGCAGATAAAGAGAAGTGGGACCAGCCAGACTTGAGTTCAGTCCTATGCTAACCACTAACCTGAGGTAATGCCACCAGAACCAAGCTCCTTCCTCCCCAGCCCCAGGGCTCTGTGTCCATCTCAGCTCCAAGTTCTGAGAATGCACAAAGCCCCAGAGGCCCACGCTGGCTCAGCATTGAGAATTCAAATTTTCCTGTCTCTGGGGCCCACAAAGGAACATAACCACTTCTACCCTGGGTTCTGGCTAAGGGTAACATCCCAGTCACCTGCCTGTGCCCCCAGAACTACCCAGAGTCCCTTCCCAGGGTACACGGTCTCCAAGAAGGGCTAACTTTCCTGCTCCTGGTCCTACCCTCACTAGGAAGCCCACAGGAGCAGGGAGGGAGGCTCTCAGAGGCCTCTGCCTACCAGACAGAGCCTCCCGGGCTTGGTTCTGGGGCCACACATTCCCTCCAAAACCCCCACCATTTCTTGGTGCCCACAGTACCTCCAGGGCTCCAATCTGCAGCAACGAAGGCAGCTGGCTGTGGTGAGCTCACAGAGCCTCCCGCGTGCCCGCCCTGGGTGGAGGAACCTGTTTTCCAGGTTTACAGTCCTGTGTAGAGGGGCCTCGTACCTAGGGCAGGCCCCACCCTAACAGTCACGTCCTCATACAGGAGCTACACCTGGGCGGGTTGTTACCCAGTCCCTCTGCCCCTCTACAGCGAAAATGAGCGTATAATGGAAAATTTAAAGAGCCCCAGGACTCACCCCTGCTCCAAGCCCCAAGTGGTGAGTAGGCCTCCTAAAACCCATCAGACTAGGGCAACCTTCTCTCCAGTCCTGCAGAGAAAGCATTGTCTAGTTCCTCATCTGATTCCCAGGGGGCCAGCTGACCAGTGTCCAGTGACCAGAAGTCCAGTGAAGGTCTCAGAGCAGATGTGGACCCAATAGTACAACCCCAGGGCTAGATCAGGCAGGGAAATGGGCTCACTGCGCTTTTCCTTGTCTTCCCGAGTGGCAGCTGCGTGGCAAGTCCCATACCAGGTTCAGTGTCTACAGCAACCACCCAAACAGTAACCCCTGCTAGGGGCAGAGGCAAGAGTTCCCAAGGAACCAAACAGACCCAGGCAAAGGGCAGCTTCTGTGCGCTGACTTCCCATCTCTTTTACCAGTCTGCTAGGTGGTATTGGGAAGGATAACCTGGGGCTGTGGGGGGACACAGAGCGGACACCACCTGTAATAGGGACACCACCTGCTGAGCGCCCTCCCCCCCCCCACCCAGTTCCCTGGCCTCCCAGTCCTTGCCTACCCTATTCCTGGCCTCCCTATCAACAGAACTATGGTATAAATGATCGGAGAGGGCTGGGTCTAGGACTCAGTGGATAAAGTGCTTGTTGTCCCAGCACCAGGACCGCAGCTCGGATCCCAGAGCTCATCCAATGGGCGAGATGGACTGCCTGTAATTTTAGCCTTGTATGGCAGACACTGGGGATCCCCAGAGCAAGTTAGCTAAGAACACCAGCCATATGGGCGAGTTCTGGGTTTGGTTGAAAGACCCTGTTCCGATGAATAAAGCGGATGAGCCATTCAGGATGACGCCACAGATCATCCTTACACCCCCACATACATACACACACACACACCACATATACCCACACGTGTGCAAACATGCTCACACACATATAACACACACGATAAATTTAATTATTTAATAAAATTAGAAAACGAAGTGGCCGGAGCCAGTATTCCAATAGGCAGGACAATAAAATACCCAGCGTATGAAGAACACAGAAGCAGTTGTTGAGAGGTAAAGGTGTGAACACTGCTTCCAGGATGACTGACCTTTGCCCCAGAAGCTCCTGTGTCGGACATGCAGAATTTCATCCTGTCCCGGATCTTCCGCCCACCTGCATCTCTGTGTGTGCCCAGACAATCCATGTGCTCATTGCTGGCGTGGTGGGCTCTCAATAAGCACCAACCAATGCCATCATCATTCCTGACCCACAGGCCAGAAAGCTGAGGCCCACCAAATGAAGGAATGTGCAGGACACACCTTGTCCCTTTTCGATGGCACACGGCTATTGAGCGCCCCAAGGGGGCAGTCAAAGACCAGCCCAGAGATGCTCCAATGCAGGGTCCCCAGGAAATCCCACTACAATTGATAACAGGGAAACACACTTAGCTCACAGATTGGGTGACTCTCAAGGAGCCCAGGAGGTGGGAATGGACGAGTCACAGCCAGGGCCAGGGCTGTCAACCACGATGACCCACACTTCTGGTGCCTTCCCTGAAATCCTCAGGAGCCTGGCCTTCCTATCCTCCCTCTTTGGAGCAGAGGGAAAAGTTTACAAGGGAGTTAGTCACAGGCTCAGGCCCAGGACCCCTGTGGTTCAGGAAAGAGTGGTCAAAGGGAGGTGACCAGGGGCATATGTCCTGTCCCCCAGCAAGAATTCTCACTCTGCCACCACCTCAGAGCCCTGGAACCCCGGAACACTGAGAAGCAAAGACAGACTCCAGGTCAGATGGTCACCTGGGAACTCAGAGAATTGATTTGCAATGATGTCACTACTCATCCTGTCCACCACTTTCTCTCCTTGCTGAAGGGCCTCTTATTTCCCAACCTGTGCAGGATATTATTATTATTACTTTAAAAAATATCAATCCAAATTCCCACAGCCTCCCCTCCTCCCACTCCACTCCCTCCACACACCCTCCCACCCCACCCCTCTCCAATCCTAAGAGAGGGCAAGGCACCCTGCCCTGTGGAAAGTCCAAGGCCCTCCCTACTACATCTAGGTTGAGCAAGGTACACATCCAAAGAGAATAGGATCCCAAAAAGCCAGTACAGGCAGTAGAGACAAATCCCAGTGCCACTGCCGGTGGCCCCTCAGTCTGCCCCAACTGTCAACCACATTCAGAGGGGCTAGTTTTATCCCTTGTTCGTTCACTCCCAGTCCAGCTAGAGTTGGTGAGCTCCCATTAGCTCAGGCAAACTGTCTCAGTGGGTGAACCCCTCATGGTCTTGACCTCCCTGCTCACATTCTCATTCCTCTACTGTTCAACTGGACCTTGGGAGCTCAGTCCAGTGCTCAGATGTGGGTCTCTGCCTCTGTTTCCATCTGTTGTTGGACGAAGGTTCTATGGCGATATTTAAGATAATCATCAATCTGACTACAGGGCAAGGCCAGTTCAGACACCCTCTCCTCTATTGCTTAGGGTCTTAGCTGGGGTCATCCTCGTGGATTCCTGGGAATTTTTCTAGAGCCAGGTTTCTTGCTAACCCCATAATGGCTCCCTCAATCAAGATACCTCTTTCCTGGGGGCTGGAGAGATGGCTTAGTGGTTAAGAGCATTGCCTGCTGCTCTTCCAAAGGTCCTGAGTTCAATTCCTGGCAACCACATGGTGGCTCACAACCATATGTGATGAGACCTGGTGCCCTCTTCTGGCCTGAGACATACACACAGGCAGAATATTGTATATATAACAAATAAATAAATAAATAAATATTTTAAAAAAAGATACCTCTTTCCTTGCTCTCATATCTGTCCTTCCTCCATCTCGACTATCTCATTCCTCCTCACCTCCTCCCTTCTCCCCTCCTCCCCCGCCCCCAAGCTCCCAGATTTTGTCAGGCAATCTTGTCTGTTTCCAATTTCCAGGTGGCTCTATATATGTTTTTCTTTGGGTTCACCTTATTACTTAGCTTCTCTAGGATCGTGAACTATAGGCTCAATGTCCTTTGTTTATGGCTAATATACACTTATGAATGAGTACACACCATAACCATTTTTTGGGGGGCACGTGCAGGATTTCTTTGGGGTACTATCCCTAGCTGCCCAAGCTAGTAGAATAGATGGAGTGATGGCGCCACCTGCTGGTCATCCCGTGGTTTGTCCCTTAGGAAGAACCTTTGAGAGAAGGGGGCGAGGAGAGCCTTAAGATCCACAACCTACAAAGGAGGAACCTAAGGGTCAAGACACCGGTCAACGGCGGAGGCAAGGTCTGTGGCTAGGATTTGAGCTTATGGAGAGAGACACTTAAGCGCCCCCCCCCTTGGAATGTTTCTGATCTTGCTCCCCGTGGTTGAGAGAAGAGAATCCAGGAAATGCGGTCCCGTAAAAGGAGCAGGCTATTCCTCATAGTTGCGCTAGAGTCGAGCTTCTGAATTTGAAGAGAAAAAAGTTTCCTAGGAACACATGCAGCCTTGGGCTTTCAAAGAACCGGCATTTCAAACTGTTAGATATGATTTGGCGAGAAGCTTGTGCCTCTGCTTGAGACGTGACTGCCTTCCGGCAGCGGTCAAAGGTACTGTCTGGGGCTGTCCAACCCAAGCCAAGGCAGCCGGAGAAACTTCAAAACAGAACTGGGGAGACCACATAAAGGGTCCACTCCTACAGTCCCAGAGACATGTAACTCCTGCCAAAAAAATTACACCTGAGAAGCAGAGCTATCTCAGGGCCCTGCCGGCCGAGAATCAAGACTTTCGCGACTCCACTACGTGGCTCCGCCCCCTCTCCCTCGTGACTCCACCCCTCCCTCGCGGCCCCACCCACACCCCGGCCTCCACGTAGCTCCGCCCTTAGATCCCCGCCTCTCAGGATGTCACGCCTAGGCCCCGCCTTCGTCCGCGTGATGCTTACAGTCTGCGCCGCGCACGTCGAGCGTCACAGGCCCCGCCCGTGAGGCGCGCCGGCGCGGTGTGAGCTCACCGACTCGGGCCATGGCGCTGGCAGGTGCACCCGAAGTGATCCGAGCAGCGCAGAAGGACGATTACTACCTGGGAGGCCTGCGGAGCGCGGCGGGGGGCGCCCTGCACAGCCTAGCGGGTGAGCGCCCGGGCACCCAGACAGGCTGCAGCTCCGAAGCTCCTTAGAAAAGTGAGGATCAAAACAGACTTCGTGCAGAACACTTTGCAGGTCTCTGCGCCGGACAGTGCCTGCTTAGTGTTCTCAAACATTTGCCCGTTTATTTCTCATACGCCCCTACAGGTTGGACCTGACATTATTACTCTTACAGGGAGGCACGTGGAGGTTTCCAGGCAGATTTCCCAGGCAGGGATTTGGGAGAGCCGAGATTTGATACTAAACAGGTGATCTCTGGCTTGTGTTCTTGGCACTACCTAGACTTTTCTGGGCCCTCCTAAGTCCTAGAACAGTTCCTGACTCAAGAAAGTTACAGCTGAGAGGTTTTTAGGAAGTAGCCTTCCCTCAGAGTCATTCGTGTCAACCAGGTGGAGAGAGGACAGGGCAGGGAAGCAGAGGAGCCCGGCAGAAAAAAGAAGTAGTTGAGGATCGCCCTAGCAGAGAAGGGATGGGACCTGGACTTTAACGCCCCACACACCCGGGGGGGGGGGGAGGATTTCAGTGAACCCACGTCACTTGCTCAGAGGTAACATTTTTCTCCTCTCAGGTGCAAAGAAATGGCTGGAATGGAGGAAAGAGATTGAGCTACTCTCGGACATAGCCTACTTTGGCCTCACCACAGTTGCAGGTAGCAGCACTTAGCCAGTCCGTGGCACTGACGGGCCCACGGCCCACCCAACCCACTGGGCAGCTCCTGGGATTCACCTGCTTGTAGCCTCGGGGAAGAAAGACACTGACCAGAGGAGGAGGTGCTGCCTAGATTCTCTCTAGAGGCAAGCCTAGCACTAGCCCTCAGCCAGGGGGTCTCCTTGCATTTGTATATCCCTGAAGACTTCATCCAGAACCTTCCCAAGGGTGCTATTGGGACCTATCCCCACCCCAGAGCTAAGGACCCAACCCAGGGCCTTGCGCTCACTGGACAAGGCAAGCTCTACCACTGAGCTAAATCCCCAACCCCAGGACCCACTTGTCAGTGGCCAAAGGCAAATCAGTCCTGACCCCTCACATACTGGCCATTAAACCTGCATGAGGTGGACGAAGAGAAGCTGATAGTCCTTGACAGAAAAGCCATGGTAGGGGCCTCAGATCACCAGAGCCAGCTCAGCATCCAACAAGGAATGCAGAGCACCTCAGAGACGCCAGGAGAGATTGCTGCGGGTGACCTGCCCCCACACACTAGACTCTGGGTGGTGGGAGAAACAGCAAGCACCAGGTAACCACACTGTAAGGCACCCTGAGAAGTGTTGATCTCCTCAGGGAAAAACACCAAGTCTGGGGTGGGGCAAAGCAAGGAGCCTCTCTCAGGAAGTGTCTATCCCTTTTATGAGGCATGAGGCATTGCCAGATACAAGGAAGCTAACTGCAGGCCATGACCAGACATGCTGGGGACAGAGGTTGCTACAGACAGGGTCATAGACACATGGAGAGCGTAGTTCAGGGTGCACCTCAGGTTTGGCCTCGGGAATAAGAGGTCTGGCTTTGGCTTCTGCAGGGTGTAAGAAGACAAGGCTTTCCCAGGTTGGACAACTCTAAGCTAGCTAGTTGGCAGGGGCAGGCTTGAGGGTGCTTATTCTGACTCTATATGATACTGTCAAGTAAGCAGCTGACCTTACATCTCATACTTAGGACTGGACCAGATCCAGACTGAGCCATAACCTGGAAGCAGCCACGAGACTCTTGAACAACGGGTGGGTAGGGCTTAGGCAGAGGAGGGACTGGGAAACTGGGAACAAATTAAGACTGAAGACAGCAAGAGCTGACCAGGGAAACAAGGACCTATCCCAGAGTGGAAATCTGTGTCACATCATGAAATCACAGCAAGCCCACAGTGGGTCTAGTAAGAAGCCATGTTGATCTTGGCTAGGTCTCACAGGTGACAGCTGGAAGGGCAGGTTCCAGGATGCGGACGGGGAGGGGTGTGACATCCCTGCATTGGATCCTCATCATTGTGCATTGATCCCCAGGCTACCAGACGCTTGGAGAGGAGTATGTTGGGATCATTCAGGTGGACCCCTCCCAGCAGCGTGTGCCCTCCAGGCTCCGCCGTGGAGTGCTGGTCGCAGTGCATGCTGTCTTGCCCTACCTGCTGGACAAGGCTCTGCTGCCTCTGGAGCAGGAGCTGCAAGCCGATGGTGATAGTACGCGTCTGCCGTCTGGAGGACGCAGCCGATCAGGGGCAAGGCGCTGGGTGCGTCAGCATGCAGCCAGCCTGACTGAGCAGCAGAGGAGAACACTCCAGCGGGCAGTCTTTATCCTCAGACAGGGCCTTGCCTGCCTCCACCGGTTCCATGTTGCTTGGTTTTACATCCATGGTGCCTTCTACCACCTGGCCAAGAGGCTAGCAGGGATCCGTTATGTAAGTAGCAATGCCAAGGGGGACTGATGGCTGGGGCCTCTTTGGGGCCCACGCTGATGGCATGGTCACAGCCACATGTTGTTGAGTTTATTCAGTCAGTTTCCACAAACAGAGTGGAGTAAATCCTTTCCTTCCTACAACCAGAGCCGGGCACTGAGTGGACTTGGGTTTTCTCCCCACTGGCCTGTGGCTGTGTCCATTTCACTGCTTAGGGGATGAGCACCTATTCCAGAAGGTGTCAAGTGCAGGTTCTAGCATGTCCATCCCTGCCTATAGCAGCCCTCCCAGAAAGGCAAGGTCTTAGGGCTTGATATAACAAATATTCCTACAGTAGCCCACAGTAAGTACATCTCTCATTACGGTCTGTACTAAACCCCCACCTCTTCACACCCATGCCCACCACCCACCAGAGCTGCCATCTCTCCCTCCAGTCTCATCATAGAACCACAGTCTGGCCTCAGGATAACCTCCGTACTGCCAGACAAGGGGTTGTCCAGCAAACCCCCCACCCCAGCAATCATTTAATGGAGCAGCCTCCTTCCCTAATGGCTACTGAACGTTGGACACTGGGTTTGCTGTAGGGCCTGCCATCCTGTTTTCCTGCTCCAGCCCAAAGGCATAGCTGCCCTGCTGTCTTCATCTCCCTGCCAGTAGGAAGGAGTACGGAGTAGAAGACTGTGGTTCTTGTGATGTGGATGGGAGTTACATCACCAGCTACAGCAGCGGCGAGGACAGTATCCGGGGGGGTCAAAGTGTCCCTAGAGGATGCGGTAAAGGGAACAGCATCTGCCTGTCTAGGTTCCCCTTGCTATTTCCCACCCTACTCGTCCTCTGAAGTGGTCCCCAAACAGCTCCAGAATCCGTACCCATTTTCCTGGTCCATCTAGCCTCCTGGCTCAGTTTGCATCTAATGCCTAAAGGTCAACCTGTAGCCAGGGTTCTCCCTCACAACAATACTTGAGCCCATCTCCCTGGTTGATTCTTGTTCTCTGGACACTCCCAGTGCCAAGGGGAGGCCTGGCTGAACATAACACCTCCAGCAGACAAGAGGCCAGGTCCTAGGGGGATCCTGATGGCAGTGGGGTGGGGTCACCTGTCTCAACAGCTCCGTGCTCGCCGCCTGGCTGGAGAGGACCTGAGGGCTCGCACAAGCTACCGACTGCTGGGCCTCATCTCCCTGTTGCATCTGGCACTGTCCATGGGGCTGCAGGTGTACAGCTTCAGGCAGAAGCAGAGAGCCAGGAAGGAGTGGAGGCTGCACCGCAACCTGTCCCACCGCAGGTGTACAGGGGGTTGGAGGGACTTTGGCATGCTCTAAGATTGTGAACGGTGCACTTACCTAAGCTGTGTCCTCACCCCCACAGGAGTTCCCTGGAAGACAGGGCTGTTTGCAGAACCCCACTATGCACCCTATGCTTGGAAGAGCGAAGACACTCCACAGCGACACCTTGTGGCCATCTCTTCTGTTGGGAGTGCATCACTGAATGGTGCAACACTAAGGTATGTGCTCCCCGGCCTTCGACCCCACCTCCCAACCCTCTCCTGACTTGGGGAACTCCCCTTCTGAGGTCTGACTGAGTATGCAGGTGAATGGTAGGTGACAGGTGTACAGATCAGGCCACACTTAACCATAGGCTTGTCTTGCTTCCTGGTACGCTCAGGACACTTAGGATGCTAGCACACACCAAGCTGTCCTCTGTGCCACTGAACTGTTTCCAGCAGGACAGGTACCCAAAGCCACTGCTTCCTGTAAGCAGCAGGGCCCTGGCTGGCATGTCTAGCCAGTGAGCTGCTGCCCTGCTGGTAAGAGGTGGGCATCCTGGGCTACAGTATAGAAAACACGAGCGTTCACACTGCAAGGTCAGCAGTCCGCATAGTTGCTCAAGTGCCAGCATGTGTAAGTGTGAAATGTGCAGAGTCCTGTCTCTTGAGAGGAAGTACCAGGGTGCATCCGAGCTGGAAGACTAGAACAGCACACACAGCCCGATGTCTCTCACTGACGGGGTCTGAAGCCCTCCCCTCCACAGCTCTTGGCCCAGGGTTGCTGGGAAGCCATGGCAGAGGCTCAGTCAGAAGGAAAAGCCCAGGAGAGGCCCCAGAAATCCAGGGTTCCTAGGTACTGAAGGAGGTGGGCACAGCTGTGGTGAATCAACACAGTCCCGTGCCCCTAGGATGCAGACGCTGGGAGAGGCTGTTTTCTGGCTGACTCACAGCTGTGCATGTGTGGAACAGAAGAGATACGGTGGGGATCGGGGCCAGATACAGTACATGGCCATCGTGACACACACCTCACCCCACAGACAGAGTGTCCCTTGTGCAGGGAAAAGTTCCCACCGCAGAAGCTGGTCTACCTGAGGCACTACCGCTGACCGGGACCAGATCGTCACCAAACAGCTCTGAGAAGTGGATGCAAGTTGACAGCTTATCCTCAGAACTGTGTCTGCACAGAAATATAAAGTCCTCATGCACTGTTCTTTGTCATTTAAGCTACATAGCTACCTGGGAAGAGAAAGGGTTGGGGGCAAACAGGCAATACTCCATAGGGGGTAGGAGAGTTTGTTGCCCCTTACTTATTATGGCTTCTTCTGACCCTCTGGAGTAGTGGGTTCCCCCTCCCTCCCTAGGTCACACAGCTGAGAGCTGCTTCGGAAGCTCAGGGTATTTTATTCAGGTCTGTGTGAGAGGCAGGGCTGAGGGTGAGGCTGGGGTGAAGCCCTGCACTGTGGGCTCCACACCCACCGAGGTCAGCACCCTCCTAACACTCCTGCCCCGTGCTTATTAATACTGTTGCCAACTCCTTAGGAAAACAGAGGTCTTCCTCGTAGCCTTCTGGGTAGGAATGGGGGCTCCCTGGGTTGCAGATTTTTTTTAATTATATGAAGGTGCACACATGTCATGGTACATGTATGGAGATCAGAGAACAACTTGCAGGAGCTGATTTTTTTTTTTTTAATCATATATTTCGGGAGTAAACTCAGGTTGGGCTGGGCAGTAGCATCTTGTTGAAACCTTGCCGACCTGGCAGAGTTGGCTTAGTGAGTTTTCTCCTATAAACCGATTTCCATGTGTCCTCAGATACCAGTTCTCTGAGGAGTTAGGGGACAGCTGTGACTTGCTTTTCCAGTGTCACCTGTGTCCAGCCCCTCCTGACTTTTCCCTAGCTTGATTCTTGCCTCCATTTGACATTTCCAAGCTTTTAACTTGAGTTCATGTCAGACAGCCTGGCACATCTTTGAGAAACTAATTTCACAGAAAAGCCACACTAAGAACACAAGATCTAACTGGGCATGGTGGTGCACACCTTTAATCCCAGCATTCAGGAGTCAGAGGTAGGTGGATCTCAGTGAGTTCAAGGCCAACCTGGTCTACAGAGCTAGTTCCAAGACAGCCAAGGCTACACAGAGAAACCCTGTCCCGAAAAAAACAAAAACCAAAACCCAGAAGATCTAGAAAGACCTCATAAAACAGTGTGAAGATGTCCGGATAGAAGCCCAGTTCCCAGTAGTGGTCTTTGATGTCACAAGGCTCCTTGTGAAGGTCCCCTTACCAAGAGCAGGAGCCATCCTTCTAGGGGACCCAGACATACACAGGGTAACTTTATTTGTTTACTTTTTTTTTTTTTTTTTTTTTTTTGGTTTTTCGAGACAGGGTTTCTCTGTAGCTTTGGTGCCTGTCCCAGAACTAGCTCTTGTAGAGCAGGCTGGCCTCCCAGAGATCCGCCTGCCTCTGCCTCCCAAGTGCTGGGATTAAAGGCGTGTGCCACCACCACCTGGCCAGGGTAACTTTAGGGACCCTATGGTAAGACGGAGTCCCCATGGGAACCTGGAACACAGCTCTACAGACCTGTAGCACCCTGTCTGTAACTCACTCCTCTGGCTGCAACTTTCCATCACACCTGAGCTTAGTCAGTGCTGAGGAAAACAACGCAGAAAATATAAACAAAAAATGTCCAGATTTGAACCCCAAGTGCTTACATAGTTGAAAGAAAGAAAGAAAGAAAGAAAGAAAGAGAGGGAAAAGAAAGGCGCAGACGTGATGGGTTGAGAGCACAAAGCGTGGCTCTAGAAGGAACAAAAGGAACCCAGGTGACGGACTGGGTAGGGTTCTGAAAAGGTCACAGCCCCAGTCCCTCCGATCCCTGTGGTGTTTCCTCTGTCCTGGTGGGACCTGGCATCATGGTTCCCCTCCTCCAGCTGTGAAGAGCAAGCTGTACTTCAGTGAATGACTAGTGGTGTAGACGAAGACTATACAAGCAAGGGACGCTTTCTTTAATAAAGTTGGAATTTAAAAGTCACTTAGTAAAATGTTTAAAGAGTATTATTTTTATCACATCAAAAAGTTCGACATGCGGAGGGCTTCTGTTTTCCCATAGGAAGTAAAAGGCCATGTGACAAACCCCACACCTGGTGTGCTCTGGCTACTGCTGTCTCCTTAGAGAGGCTGTTGCATGAGAACAAGTTTAAATTCATCAAAAGGAAAATGTTACGTATCAAAGGAAAGTGTCAAAATAATCTCAAACAATTAAAATATAATATATATTTATAATTCCAGGCCTTCAAAAGCAATCATGGTAGTTAGGAACAAAGTTCTGAGTCATTGTCATAGAGGCCAACTTGAAAACCATCTCTAGTGAGTAAGATTCAGAAACTGGCATGAGAACCCCGCGAAGCTGCTGGGAGTCACCCTCAAAGGGTTACATTCTTTTTCACATGTAGGAAGCAGGCTGGCATGTCCCTCTGGTGCAGAGGAGCGGCCTCAGCGTGGTCAGGAAGGCAAGGCTACACTCCCATCCTCCCTCCCGCTCTCTTGGCCTGCCACTCTCCTGGCCTCCCAAGCCTCTGGTTCACTACAATTCTGTTCACTTCAAACACATGAACATCACTGAAAAAGAAATCAATGCAATTTGGTTTAAATGCCAGTTTCTTCAAGAACCTGATATTTCAGATACAAATCATTGAAGCTCCTCTTAAAAAGAAAATTCAACTTCCTCATAATCAACTACTTTATGTGAAGAAAAGGCATTGTTACAATGGCTCAAAACCGTCCTTGAACACGCGTGACAGATTCAGTCCGGCTTCTAACTAGCAAATGTCTTGCCCACGTCCTCCTTCCCTTTGTATCTCCTCTTTCCGTGTGTGAATGGTATGTACCGGTATTTAATCATGTGCTGGGGAAATAAACACACAAACTTGAGTTACTTGAGAACAGTTTCCTGCTTAACCCTCTCCCTAGATCTGCAGAGCCAAAGGCACCCCCTCGACTGTTTGTGCTATCACAACTGAAGTCAAGAAGCCAACAGTGTGCTCCATAGGACTCGACCCACTGGAGGCCTGCCTGAAATCCCAACATTTGGACAGCATCTCATGAGCCCCTGGAATGAGCTAGAGAGAGCACAGAGGGTGCAGCTACACCACCAATCCAAGGATGTGCCGTAACACTCTAGGAGGTTACCACAGGACCCTGAGAGCCACTGAGGCACCACAGGGCCAAGCCCAACCCTGCCCTACCCAGGGCTTTCTGACTCAGCAACTGTTGCGGAAGGGCCCACCTGTTCTCACAGAAGCCAGAAGCCGAGTACAGGTCAGTCATGACACACAGGAGGCCATGCCCAGCACTAAGACCCAAGCTACTTTCCCAGGGACACTGAGGCCGCAGGCTGGAGCCGTCGCCTGGCACAGCAGTGCTGTGATCTTTACCTTTATTTGCCTCTTCATTGTGATACAGAAAAGCATGATGAAGTACATCACCAGGATCGGCCAGAACACGGGGACGTTGAAAGCCTCGAAGAAGGTGCAGACCATAGCCACAAGAATGCCTTTTGTAGCTGCATGCCTTAAAGCAAAGGGAAAAATTAGTATGAGCTCTAGGTAGCACCAGGCACCTGTCAACCCGCTGACACTCCTGCCTTTGTCTGCTCAGAGGTACCTACTAGAGATACATCAAGTCAGTCTGTGTGTAACACTGAACCACATCCTCTCAACCTTTTAAAAACTAAGACTTCTTATTTTTTTAATATATTCTTTTTTTCACATTTTTATTTATTTTTATGTGCAACTGGTGTGAGGTAAGGATGTCAGATCCCCTGAAACTGGGATTATAAACAGTTGTGAGCTGTCATGTGGTTGCTGGGAATTGAACCCAGGTCCTCTGGAAGAACAGCCAGTGCTCTTAACCACCAATCCATCTCTCCAGCCCCCAAGCTAAGACTTCTTAAACTTATACAAAGTGTAATATGTACCTTGTGTTTGCTACCTAGAACTGCCATCTGGAGAAGAGCCTAGGCCCTGGTCCTGACACTGGGTGCCTGAGTCCAGCACACAGCCCTGCCACCATCACACACCTTGTCAGCCTCTGTACTCACCCCCCCCCCCCATACACACACACACAAGCTCCTCTTTTCCTACAGAACAACATCCAGGCTCCTGGGGGCGTCTTGCCCACTTTCTATTTCCTCTCCCGGATCCTATCTCACACACTTGCTCCATGCACAGCACCAGAGCTGCAGTTAAAGCACTCAAAGAACTCAGTCTGCTCCTTCAGTTTACTGAGCCAAAGACTTTGGCTCCTTTTGTGGTCCAGGAGCAGATAGTCTCAAAGACAGGCCAGCAGGTCATACATAGCTTTGACCTTTTGACAGAAGGTCGTAAAAGGAGCTACACTAATGTGTTCCCAGTCTCTTCCTAGTCTCCCAGAACTTCCAGGATGTCCGCTCTGGGAAGGCCTAACCTTCCCAGGGTGCCTTGAGTCAACAGCCGTGCCTACAGGAGGCACGGGGCCTGGAAAACAGCTGTTAAGACCCTTTATCCACTAACCCTAGACTACTGTGTCAACCCAAGGGGAAACACTGTGAAGTGATGGTCTCCCCAGAGAGCAGCCCTGTGACCCACCCCATACCCAATACAGCTGTTACTTTTTAGATTAATGCATACCACATCCAAGCAAAACAAAATTCTCGTTTTGTTAAACCAATAACTATCTGGGACAAAAACTGGTCTACTCTAATAGCTCAAGTATCTTCCACAAAAGCCTTGAAGAAATAAAGGCATGACTGGTCAGGAAAAATGACTTCCACATGTAGCTAGGAGGGTAAGCAGCGGGCAACAATGCTGGACTTACTTCAAAATACCTAACCCTGACCATTACGAGACTATTACACAATGTATGTGTACCAAAAAATGTCATTCCATAGCCCCCACGTGTGGACAATTACTATGTGTTTGTTAAAATAAGATACAGAGATGGATGTACTCTATTGTCCAATGGAAAACAATTCACTCACCAAAATTTGAATTCTGGAAGCCTTCTAATGAAGGGACGAAACTCCTCATTCTGTTTGGTTGGTAATGAAGGGCCGTCATCTGAAATGTACAACATCAGCTAGAGGTGAAGCATCTGCCTCTACCTTCGGGTTTCTGCCCCACTTGTAAGTCTTCCCTTGATGCTTCCAAACTGCTGTGCCTCACACATGGCAACAAATTGAGTCAACCAGAGATAAAGTATGGGGTCTGCAGGCAACTCCGGAGAGACAACCAACAAACAAAAATACACTTCACACAGATTTTCCATTTGTTTTACTATCTAGTTACATAAATTAGGACAAAGACAAACTGACGTGTACATAAACAAGTAGTAAAGAGAGAATGCAGGCCATGTAGCGGTTCATGACATAAAATCCATTCCCACAGTAAAGTAAGAAGTGACACTGAGCTGGCTCAGTGGACAAAGACACTTGGCTGCTGGGACAGACAATCCCTGGAACCCTCATGGTAAAACAACCAAATCCTGCAAGTCGGGGGCTGGAGAGATGGCTCAGAGGTTAAGAGCATTGCCTGCTCTTCCAAAGGTCCTGAGTTCAATTCCCAGCAACCACATGGTGGCTCACAACCATCAGTAATGGGGTCTGGTGCCCTCTTCTGGCCTGCAGGCATACACACCGACAGAATATTGTAT